AATTCCTACTACAGTTACTTATCCACACGTTTAAGATGGTGTAGGCCATTGTACAAGAGCAAGCAGGCCATCCTTCATGGGGTTCATATGCACAAAGGTTGTTAGATCCTGAAGCAGAACTCTGGAGAAACCCTGGCAACGGAGGACATGATGATAAGGCTCATCCACCCATTCATCCAACCAAATATTCTTCCGGGGAGTCAGGCTGGAGTCAAGACCACCATGTGAGTTGATCTGACCGCCCTAAATAACTCATTTGAGACTATATATGTCCTTGACACTAATTGAGAGCTTTGAGTAATCTCGTTTACATTTTGTCTCAGAAAGTATATGAGCTTGTGGTTCGCCATTTTCTGGCCTGTGTTTCAAGACCCGCTGTAGGGGCTGAAACCACCGTTGAAATTGATATTGCCAGTGAGCTGTTTTGTGCATCAGGGAGGATGATACTAGCCGTAAGTATCCTAATATTTGAATTTACTGTATTATTGAAGGGGTAGCGTGTGTTATTCATTAGCGAAAGCACGTAACATTGCCCGGAATATGTGGTCAGAGTGAGGTAGGATATCCTTAAGATACTAGGAAGGATGGGGAAACTTGGTATTCTTGTGGATTCGGGTTTGATTGCTTCAAGGCCTTTTAAGGGTACCAATACTGGTTATGATCTATGTACTTGGGTCTTTTTTGTCAGAAAAATTACTTGGATGTCTACCGATTTGAGTCCTGGGGAAATTCCATGCTTCCAACCTATGATCAAGGACAACAGGTTTGCTTCCTCATGTATGAAGGCGTTTTATCTTTGACTTGCTTTGTTGTACACACCATGCGCATTAATTTTTGGAAAATGGTGTAGTTCATTCCAACCACGCTTACCCTTGATTCGGGAATCACTAGGCCACCACCTTTGCTGAGTGAAGCTGATTTACTAGGTTGTATGGATAAGGTAAGACACTGAGAACTTTGAGATGTGCATCGCGTTGTACAGAAGTTTGGTGGATGGCTTTTGTTGTTTACTAATTCTTCCATGATCATTGTAGTCTCTAAATCGGTCATTTCTTCTTTATTTTGGTATTACCAGGCAGGTATCGGCACAGATGCAACAATGCATGATCACATAAAGAAGCTGCTAGATCGGTTCTATGTGACTAAGGATGCAAATACACGTTTCTCACCAACTAATCTTGTAATTCTGCTTTGCTCTGTCTCTATGATACATATGTCGTCCTAGTTTGTTAATGAAAAACTTCTGCTACCCTTCTTCTGTTGTACAAGTTGTTCTTTGCATATGAAAGATTACTGTCAATGGAAGTTTTGTTGGTATATCCTTCCATATTTCAATTATTTACTGCCACTATTATTTGATTTCAGGGCGAGGCTTTAGTCATGGGATATGATGAAATGGGGTGAGTAATCTACTTCATTTTACCTAGAAAACAGTTGCCTTACTTCAGCTACATTGCTTTAGAGTTGCTATTGGATAGAACCCCAGGCATTACCAAGTTGATCCTTCTAGATTTGCTTGTCAATCGTCCCTTGTTAACTATTGGTAACATGATGTTTCATAAAAAAACTATTGGTATCATGATGGTTATTTGTCCTGTACATCTTATGCTCGTGGAAATATATGTTCACGGACAATTGTCTTTGAGTGGGTCTCATCAGACTGTTGTAGTGACCTACAATGTGGAATTTCCTTTTGCCAGGTATGAGCTTTGGAAACCAAATCTTCGGTCGATGATGGAATATGATATGAAGGAAGTAAGTGTGGGCCATAAAAGTAAAGCTGACGTTCTTGCTACTTCCTTACAACAAATGAAAGCTTGCTTCATAGATGTAAGTTGTTTTCATTTAGTAATGTTTTTTGGTGATCAGTTGCTCTCTAGATTCAAACAATTTACCTATAGTCTCTGATGTCCATGTGGGTCATGTCGGTGTAACATCTCTGAATGTAGCATTAGTGGTTGCACTATCCATATGGATTTTTGAGCACTCGGCTAGTGTTCAAGTCAAGTATCTGCTGATCAGTGTTGTGAAACAAACTCTCCATCCTGCTTCCTTTCATGCCTTGTTGTCCTTCATACACGTTATCATCTGATTGGCACTGCTAACTTGAACTTATGCAGGCCAAGTTGAACAGAACAAAACTCTTGGAAGCTATGGATGTTTTCTTTGAAAGGTGAGGTCTTTCCTCCAGTTAACATGCATTGTAGTTTCCTGGATCAAATGACTAATACTTTGTTTGTCAAGCAGAACTGATAGATCTGCTTCAGATGACCAATATGCAACAGGGGAAATTGTTCGCTTATGTGGGTTGTGCCAGGAGTCAAATATGGTGTTGAAACGAAACCGGGTACTGGTTTTTTTTCATAATAGGTCATTATTTTTATTCCGAAACTACTTGTCAACACCCATGACTTACTATTTCTCAGTTACATCAAGACTCTGTTAAAAACGACAGGATGTCGGGTTTGATGTATAGAACGTATGTTTATGACCAATTTGGTCTCAAATAAGTGCCACTTGGTGCTCCTATTCTGAAGTTATTGTTTTTTATTTTGTCTCCTTAATTCAGGAGGATGTAGTTTAATGTTATTTTCATGGTTGTTAACAGGACAACAAGTTCATGGTTGGATGCTCGGGATTCCCACAGGTTGGCTCTACAAAGTATCTCTTTATGGATTCAGTTGTCTGATGTTACATATCATTTCATGTGATGTTTTTCTTGTATTCCAATAACTTGTTCTTGTTCTATATGCTCCTTTTCTCCTTCCACGAAGCTTGCTCAAAGAGTTTGGTGTCAATTTGTTTTTAACTTATCCCCCCTGAGAGTTAGATACATCTTCAAGCATTATTGCAAAGCATTCAACGTCTCTTCATCCCTATGTTTCAGTGCAGGAATGTTGTCTGGCTCCCGGGACCTGTATTAGAGGCCACCGTAACCACCAACGTTTGCGGTTCCTGCACTCAAGGTGACTGTTTACAGTGTGTATCTGCTTTATCTTTACCGAAATGGAGCCTAAGATAATCGTTTGTTATTTCCTTTTGATACAAGTCTTAACCCCTCGAACATTTAACCACACACCGTTATCCTCCTTTTTTCCTAAGTTTATGTGAGAATTTCTCTGCATCTTTTCTCATCCATTTAACAATAAATTGAAAGCATTATGAATATCCGGTATTTGGACTAGAACTATATTCTTCATTTTCACATCATCATGATTTTCCAGGTCCTGTTTATTTGATTCAGTTCAAGTTTCGGCAGCTGGAAATACCACCGGGATTCAATGTGGACCATTTGGGTAAAGTTTTTCAGTCCCTAGTTATACATAGCTACTCTTCATTACAAGTTCTCAGCACTGCATCTCATACAGAGTATCTTAGCCAAAGCCCGTTCAGTTTTCATTGGCGAGCTTATCTCTCTGATTTATACCTTTTGTTGGGACACTCTCTGCCTAACGATGGTTTCCTTTTCCTCACTTGACGTAAGGCTGCATCGGTGGCTGCGACCAAACTCTCAGAGAGCTGACAGAGATGTGTGGAACTGGTACCCGTGGACAAGGTCTGTTCATGTATTAATACGAGGACTTTGTATGCATTTCTAGGCATAATTCCACAATGACTTGAACCATCCTCCAATTCGTGTTGCAGCTGCAGCAGCAGCAGCAGCAGGAGGAGGAGGAAGAGGCCGAGGTGCTGCTCCAACACGCAGCAACCCACGACAAGGACAGAACCCTTGCATATACTGTAACCAACCTGGCCATGCTTCAATGGACTGCCCATCGCAGCAGCAGTCAGCACCACCTCGTAGTGCTCGATCTCGTGGAACAAATCAACAAAACGGTACATACTTGTCCCCTCCATCATCATTAGGACTACTAGGTCCATTATTTGTCATACCTTACCATAGTTGTTTGATAAAAGAGACTTAAAAAATCGTGATGATGAAGCACCGATGTTAAAACCAGTACGATTGGTCTTTATGATCTCAGAAATGCTGTTGTTTTGCCGTACGTGCAGTACAATCTACATCGTCAGTTACATGCACGACCTGCGGAGCGCCATGCACGTTGCGAACAGCAAACACGGAGGCCAACAGAGGGAGGAAGTTCTACTCTTGTAACTCGCAGGCTTGCAACTTCTTCGCGTACGTTAAAGGAAAAAAAACCCCATTCTCTTGTATCTTCCGATAACTTGAGTCACAAGTTATCACCAGTCACCTAATTCCTTTTCTTATTGGCGAACTTTGTCGTGCATGCAGGTGGGAGGATAGTCTTGCAAATGGCGGTGGGCCCCAGAGAAGTGTCCCGCGAGCAAATGGCTCGGGGGGTTCTAGCTCAGCAACCGCCGCCCGCAGGAGGGGCGGCGGTGGCGGCGGAAGAGGTGGTGGCGGTGGCGGAGGAAGAGGAAGAGGAGTGCAGAACGGATTCGTGTCGGCGCGGGATGCCACATTCGTCTCGGCGACAGGCGAGGAATTGTCAGGCAGAAGGTGCTACGTGTGCGGTGATCCTTCCCATTTCGCGAATTCCTGTCCTAATCGAGGTTCTTGAGGGGTAAAAAAACAGTATGCTAAGCTCACGCTGCAGTCTCAAAACTAGTAATAGATGAAAACATAAAAGAGAAAAAGATAAAAGATTTGTACTATATTTTAGATTGCTTTTCAATTTGTATCTATATTTTTCAAACGATTTATGAAAATGGATTGAGATTTATTTCGGAAAATTATAAGGTTTTTTTTATAAAGGTGAAAATTTAGATTAACTGCAAGAAAAATTATAAGTTTGTTCACTGATATTACCTAAAAAGTTCATGTTTGTCACTAAAAATATTTTATTCTATTAATGGTCACTAACTTTATTCTATCATTTCAACAATGGGCACTCTTTGGCCTTTGCCCATGTCCGTAAATTTTATTATATGTAGTAGTCAATAGTCAACTCTTGTAATTAATCATTAAATGTGATGTGGCAATTAAAAAAATTAATATTTAATCATTCTAATTTTAAACCTCATTATTACATTCATTATAAATAAATAAAATAAAAAATCTAATTTCTATTCTACCAACCTCGCCCCTCTCATTGACAAATATCCAGTATTTCGTGGGAGAAATAAACACATTCACATCAGGTTTCACTTTCTAAGAGATCTGGCAAAGGATAAGGTCATTGAATTGGAGTACTGTGGAACACAACAGATGGTTGGCATCTGACAAAATCACTCGAGTTGGAGACGCTTCAATGGACGAGGAAGCAACTAGGAGTTTGTAACGAAGCAGAGTTCAAGCCGAAGGAGTAAGGAAGTTTGCAGGCTGGAAGAAGAAGCTTCGGTTTGGGGAGGATATGTTGGTGCTGAAGATCGAACTCGCGTTGCTTTAATCTTGGCGCCAGTATTTGAGGATGTCATTTGGATTCATGGATAATTCACCAATCCACTTGATCCTGTACATGGATCCTCTAATGCATTTGATCCATGGATCCATCAATCCATGAATCCAATCTATTTGCCGCTTCTAGAAGCGAGAGGAAACGACGAAGAAATGGAGAAGGGTTTTGCAGCGAACAAGGCGGTAGTGGCAGTGGTGATTGCTACTACCGGTGGTTGAAAGGTTTTGAACTAATTATTGTTTGCTATAAATGAATTCTATAAAAATTTGAATAGAATTCATTTTGGAATGAAGTGTTTATGTGTTTGGTATGTAAAATAATTTATTTTCAAATTTAAATTTTTCTAGAATTTGAATTCTATGAAATTGGAGCCAAATAAAGTCTATGAATTTAAACATTTCTATGAATTTAAATTTTCAAAAGAATTTTGGTGGAATTTCCAAATAAAGTCTACACTTAATTTACAAATTTCAGCCAAATATCTTACCTAACTCGAAAGAAGTTATCCTAGAGTGGCTCTAACAGAAGCTTTCAGTTCCTGGACGACCCCATAGATTGGGATGCCGTTGGAGTTCATAATATGCATGGATTGGATTGGATCACCTCAAGAAATAATATTTACTTATTGTAAGTTACCGTGGCGTTGCTTATTAATCATGAAATTCAATCATATCACTAGACACTAGAGGCTTGCATTTGCATGCCTAAAAATAACATTACCTTCTCCTGAGTCCTAATCCAACAACATACTTACTTCATAGGGCATCCATTAAGTATTATAGTGGAAAGCGAACTTCTCACGTTTGGCTATGATAAGATAATGATCCATGAGCGAAGGATATATTTGGGAAATTATTATTGAGTTCATTTCTGTATGTCTTTCAAATGTGATCCAATTCATTCGGTTAAAATTTGAAAATGGCATTCCTAATATAAGAATTCATTTGAAAATGAATTCTACACAAAAAAAAAAAAAAAATTTTGAAATGATCAAGAGATCGGTTAAAGTAGAGGAAGACTCATCTATTTGGAGACGCTACAGTTGGAAAAGGCAGAACATCATTAAATACTAATTTGGTCATTATATTTATCATATATTTCACATGTGAGATTATCCACCAGACCGGACGGTTAAAACTTCACCAGCCCTTTACCTAAAAAAATCAACGGCTTTACAGCTTACGCACTCTGCATCATCCCAAGCAAACTCTGAAGAGAGTTCAATTCAATTCAATCAATCAATGGTGGAAAGGGCCACACACCTGAGCAATCAAATGTTATCATCGGTTGAATCTCTCGTATCAGGACGATCCTCTTGCACATCAGGTTTCGGCCATGTCGCTGAACTCTCCAGATTCAATCAATCAATGGTGGAAGGGAAACTCGTATCAGTTGGTAAATCTATGGTAAGTTAATGCAGATAACGGTTTACCGACAATTACCTAACTCGTACCAAGCAATGGCATACGGCATATATTACTCACTGATTCTATCAATTGGTATATGCACTACCATTTACATTACATACTTGAGAAACTTAGAAATAGCCAGGTGAAAGCAGAAAAGAATGTAATCCTTTCTTCTCTGGTGAATTGTTGGCACCAGTCCTATATTTTGTCTTTGTGGACCGAGGGAAAAGGGGAATTTACAAGTGATTACCAATCATTGAGCTGACTGAGGGAGGGAGTTGTTGCTTCACTATCACTGGTGTTTTGAACCCAAAACTTGTTGCTTCCGCCCCGGAAGCTACACGCCTCGTAACCCTTCTTCGTCGTACCTTGGAATTAGAATCCGATGGCAAGACACTCTTGGCTGGAGCGAATGCCGCAACTGCGCGCCTCTTCTTATTAACCCTTCTTCGCACCTTGACATTAGAGTTCGTGAGACCCTTGGCTGGAGCGAATGCAGCATCTACACGCCTCTTCTTAATCCTTCGTACCTTGGCTGGAGCGAATGCTGCCGCATCATCGGGATTTGTTGGATCACTACTACTACTACTATTTAACAAGAAGCTGAAGTTTTCCTTGTACATGTTGTCCAACGTGGGAGGCACGTCGAGGCGGAAAGGATCAAACACCGCCACCAAGGGTCGAATACCAAAGTCAGGGCTAAGGTAATGTCGATACACCCAAAACAACTCCCCATTCCATGAAGCTAAACCACCTTTGGATCTGACATCATAATCGTGGACAACAGCATCCTTGATCCATTCTCCAGACTCGGAACAAAACACATCCAGTTTGATAGATAATATTGGCTCGACCTGATGGTAGAGATACACCACCCGGAACCGATGAGCAGCAGCAGCAGCAGGTGGTGATGTTTGGGGTTCGAAAACTAACCTTGCCACCGGAGCAGAATATATCACTGACTTCTTCGGCGCCAAAGGGAGAGCAGCCCACTGCTTCGTAAACGGATTGCAGAGCAAGTAGGATCTGCTGCGTTCCCCGTCGTCGTCGGTGTATATAAGTTCATCCCAGAACCCGCATAAAACCAAGCCTCTGTTGCAATCCAAGACTTTCAGAGCGTCTCGAGCTCCTTTAGCCATGGGAGGGAGAAATCCGAGGATCATCGATTTGAGATCGCTGGGGCTCGTGGTCTGGTGGTGAGAAACGTAACGGCGATTGAAGGAGGCATCGGAGATGACGGACCTCCACAGCCGGCAGACGAGTTTGCAGCGGCAGGCGGATCTGGGATTGGGGAGGCGAATCAGAATCTCGAGGAGAAGATCGGCCCCGAGTTTGCTGTTTGCGTCTGACCTGATTGGTGGTCGATGTCGCAGATCCCCATCCGAGGTGCAGGTCTCGGTCTCGGTCGCCATCGCACGCCGGCGACGAAGGAGAAAGGATTAGGTGGTATAGGCGGAGCTTCGGTTGGGATTACAACCGAGAAGAGAACTGAAATCTTCTGATTCCTTCTTATAAGAAAGAAACAAAGAAACCGACACCGAATGCTTTACTCCTTCTCCTTTGCTCATACGGCGGCTGCTGCTAGGGATGTGGGTCGGGTCGGGTCGGGTCCATATCTATGATTAGATTAACTAATAATGCTCCCTCGAGTTTGTACCAATGGATAACCAAATTAATCGGTTATTTATTTGCTTATGAATCTAGTTTTGTTTCTACCGGTTGCAAATGTAAGAGTAGAACAAACATTTTAGTTTGAGTTATGATAAGAACTAGGTTCAAAGACGAATTGGCGATTCAATTTGCTGACTGTTTAGTGGGATACATTGAAAGAAATTTACTTAAGATTGTACAATGAATATATTTTGCGTTTCTTTCGAAATATGAAAACTTGTCATGGTTGTCTATGTAAACAATAATTATATTAGTTGATTATTCGTTGTCTATGAATGAATCATTTTTCCATTATTAGTTCTAATTATATTTATTATATATATATATATATATATATATATATATATATATATATATGAAATGAGCACATAGGTAGTTTTAAATCTTGCCTCCGCCACCGATAGTAGAATTAATTGATGAATAGGAATACAAAAAAAGCAAATTGATGGATGTTTGCTTCATGGAATGTAAATTTATGTTTTAATTTTATAAATCTACAACTATAATAATCATTTATCAAATTTAAAAAACAAACAACAAAATCATTATCATTTAATTTCATACTACTATCTATTATAAGAATATATTTTTCTTGTTGGACGAATATGTATTCCTGTAAATCGTATAATATATTATCATTACACAAATATCATATTCACTGCTGGGAGGACGTCCTCCCAATAGTAGGTGGGAGGACCATATCCAATCCGATAAAACATGTGGTCGTTGCAAGACTTTGATATGACAGATGGACGAGGGAATCCATCAGTCAAAAGGGAGGCAAGCTAACTGTAAATTAATAGGTTAATATATTTGTATGGCATGAACTTTGACCATAATAAACATTCTGGTCAATCTTTTCGATCTATAACATTCTGGCTCAAACTATACATCAAAGTAACGACATTGGCCAAACCCGATGTTGACAGTTATCTTGGACGGTCAAACGCGTTGACTAACACTCAACATGCCACGTCACCGCCCGGTCATCATAAAAATCATTAAAATATTCACAATTTACACATATTTTCTAACTTTGAATTATTACAAAACCCTGGGTGATCATGGGGGACTTTAATGTTATACTTCATAGTAATGAATCCTCCAATCCTGTTATTCTGGGAGAGAGTGCTAGGAATTTTGGTAGGTGGATTGATGAAGTGCAGTTGGTCGATCACAAAGTGGTTGGCCCTTGGTATACGTGGACTAATAAGCAGGAAGATAACCCTATAGCTAAAAGGTTGGATAGGGTGCTTGTGACAGAAGGTTGGTTAGCAGTACACCCATTCTCCTCAGTTCTATCCTCCCCCCAGGACTCTCTGACCATTGTGGTCTCCTTCTATGCACAGATTCCAGGGGTAAAATGTTGCCTAAACCCTTCAAGTACTTTAGTTTCTGGAAAACTCATCCTCTCTATGCTAACTTAGTTGAAGAAGGATGGGTAGCAACATCAGGGGCCATGCAATGCAACAGTTATACCACAAGTTAAGAGAAGTCAAATAGAGGCTCATAAAGTTGAATAAGGACCACTACTCAGACATACATGAAAGGGTGAAGAAAGCTCGGGAGGAATTGGAGATGGCTCAAAGAGAAGTGTTGGAGCGCCCTGCCTCCTCAACTTTTCAAGCTGAGCAGAGGTGCATGGTCCAGTTTCTAGAACTAAAGAATGCTGAAGAGCAGTTTCTGAAATACAAATCAAGAGTGATGAGAATTAACTGTGGGGATTCCAGAAGCATCATTTCCAAATTAATCACAGAAGATGGTAGAAGTTTGGAAGGGATAGATGAAATTGGTAAGGAGGTAATGAATTTTTACCAAAATATCTTGGGAATGGCTAACTCCTCTCTTCAGCATGTGACAGTGAACACAATCCAGAAACTTCTTTACCATCACCTCCCCCAGGAGACTTCCCTCTGTGTGCCAGTCTCAGTAGATGAAATTACATCAGTGGTCAAGAAAATGAAGAGGGGCAAAGCCCCTGGCCCTGATGGGTTGTCTGCAGAATTCTTCCAGGATAATTGGAGCTTGGTTGGTCCACTGACAATTGAGGCAATAATGTACTTCTTCGCTACTGGTACTCTTAGAAGAGAGGTAAATTCTACTATCCTCACCCTAATTCCTAAAGTCCCAAATGCCAGTTCAATGAAGTTGTTCAGACCTATCTCCTACTGCAATTTCATCTACAAATGTATCTCGAAAATACTAGCCAATCGTTTGAAAGAAGTGCTCCCACAGCTCATTAGCCCTAACCAGACAGCTTTCATTAAAGGAAGATTGATATCTGATAACATAATCCTAGCACATGAACTAGTAAAATGGTACAATAGGAGGAATGTCTCATCTCGTTGTGCCTTAAAGATAGATATCATGAAGGCTTTTGATAGTGTAAATTGGTGTTTTTTGGTCACTTTCATGAGGGCCATGGGGATACCTGAGCAGTTTGTCAAATGGATCCAGTGTTGTCTTGAAACAACCAATTTTTCTGAGTGTCTAAATGGGGGACTAACTGGGAATTTCCCTGCCAAGAAAGGACTTAGGCAGGGTTGTCCTTTATCTCCATACTTATTCACCATAAGTATGGAAGTTCTTTCATGCATGCTTAATAGGGAAGCAACCAGGAAAGTCTTACCTTTCCACCCTCAGTGTCACAGAATAGGGCTTACCCATCTCTGCTTTGCTGATGACCTTCTGATCTTCACTAAGGGGTCAGGAGAGGCAGTGGGAACTGTTGCTACTATCCTAGACAAGTTTTACCTGGTTTCAGGTCTTAGATGCAACCCTTCCAAGAGTGAAATTTTCTGTGCGGGTGTGACTGAAGAGGAAAAGGCTTCTCTGGCAAATTGTTCTGGTTTTAAGGAAGGTGCCCTCCCTGTTAGGTATCTGGGGATTCCACTTTCTGCAGGGAAACTGAAAGCAGCCGACTGCAGAACCTTGGTGGACAAGATAACTAACCTAATAAGTGGATGGCAGCCGAAACTTTTGACATATGCTGGTAAGCTCCAGTTAATTGTAGCTGTCCTAGTCAGTATTTCCCAATACTGGATGAATATCATTCAGCTCCCCAAGAAGGTAATAAGAGAAGTGGAAGGTTTATGTTCAAAGTTTTTATGGGGTAATTTGGAGCAGAACAGGAAAGCAAAGGTGGCCTGGAAGCATGTTGCTTTACCAAAGGTAGAAGGTGGTTTGGGTTTCAGAGACTTGTGGTCTTGGAACCAAGCTTGTCTAGCTAGACATATTTGGGTAGTTCTTGCGAATCAGGAAACGTTGTAGACAACATGGTTGAAGGAGTATAGGCTACGTAATCTTAGCATATGGGAAACTCAAATTAAAGGGTCTTGGGTCTGGAATAAAATACTTAAGACCAGGCCCCTTCTTAGTTCATTCTTGGTCAGGACTGAAGATGGAATAGAATGGAATGGTACTGTCATGACTCGTTTCAGCATTAAAACTGTCCGAAATAGCCTTAGACCTCGGCAGAAAGCTGTTCCTTGGGCCTCGTTGGTATGGAAGGGGCCTCTGATCCCCAAAAACTCCTTACTAACGTGGCTAGTTTTACAAGACAGAATCATGACCTTGGATAAGATCAAGAGATGGAACCCTGATGTCCTTGACAACTGCCCTCTCTGTCATTCTGATCCAGAGTCTCGAGATCACCTCTTCTTCTCCTGCCCTTATGTCAGAACAGTTTGGAGCATCGTTTTTTACCCATGGCAGTTCCCTCTCGGGTGGACATTTCATAGTGTGGTCTTAGCTGCTGTTTGCAGGTTAGGGAAATGCATGACAGGGAGTACCATTTGGTGTTTGCTGGTTAGTGAAGTATGGCGCGAGAGATGTAGAAGACTATATGGCAACAAACTCTTGTCTCCAGCAGATTTGACCCACAAAATGGCGCAGGAGATGGAGTTCAAGATAGCAGGGGACATAGCTTTTGCAGCAACTGCCGAGGGAAAACAGCTTTGGTATAAAATGCTGTAACTTTGGATCTGTTCACAGTCTTGTTTTTTATGTTGCTGTTGTCAAGTTCAGAGGTTTCTTTGCATTATAGAGTAGCAGTTCGATACAGGTGTAAGGGTATTGTACAAAAATAGTGTTGTGGTACGTTGCTGATATATTGTATTGATCGATTGTGTGATGAATAAAGCTCACCATTCATATAAAAAAAAGAATTATTACAATCAAATTAAAACAAAATTTAAAAAACATTTGAAACCCCCCACCGGCGGCTCCCCTCCGTCTATTCCCCCAACCTCTTCTTCGATTTTTGATTTCCCAATTGCCTCTTCCTCCTCTTTCTGATTTCCCTATTCTCAAGGTCTGTGGTGACGATCCTCTCCCTCGAGCAGCCGCAAGAGGAATAGAAGAAGCCATCCATCGAAACCCAAGCCACCTTGGATTCACCCGCGTGAAGTGTCTTTGTCTTCTTCCACACCTTAGAATCGCAACCTGCCCTACCGACATCAAAGTAGTCTCATCCAACAAGACCCCATATGGTTCTGTAGAAAGAGATGCATCATAGATCTAAGAACCCAACGAAAATAAAGAGGCGATTCTGCATCCAAATATTTGCAGCCATCGCCGAAGGGACTTGAAGGGAGGCCAACGTTAGGAAGTGGCCCGAAGTGATTGATTGGACTTCTCTCTACTGTAAATAGGCCAATACTATTGTGTCGCTGTAAAAACTGCGGCACCGGTGACGCTGATTGTGATTGGCCCATGTGAAGCTTATGTGGCATGTCTGGGCTATTTAATTAATCTCAACCAAACAAAAATAGAAATGGCCCAAACGGCCTCTCCCCAAGTAACGCCAAAAGGATTTTCGTTTAATGCTCTGTTTACATTTTTTGTTTGGTTAATTTAATTAAAAATCATATATTTGGATGCGGAATCGCCTCTTTATTTTCGTTGGGTTATCAGCAAATCAGAAAAAGGTTATCCCAAAAAAAAAAAACAGTGATCGTCATCAAACAAACCACGACTCCACGAGCACAGTCAGGGGCGGAGCTATGTAGGCTCTCGGGGGGGCTCCGGCCCCCCGAGAATTTCGAAACTTACGTATAAAGTCCTAGGAACTTTCGAGAATTACGTATAAAATCAACGATAAATATATTTAAAATCCGAGTGACACATTATTAACATAATCTTCTTCTAGTCTAGCGGATTTGTAGTTGAATATTAGCCAAGAGGTACCAGGTTCGAGCCTGGTAGGCAGCAGCTTTTTTATTATTTTAACTTTTTTATTTATTTTATTTTCAGTTTAATTCTTCAAGTTTCCTGCTTGGTCTTATAACTCCGATGATTTCAAATAACGTTAGTCAAGTTATTCAACTTTTACATTAATATTTCATGGATGTGTTTTGGATATGTAATTAAATAATAATTCATATAAACACTAATATAATCATAAATTCATATGCAAGGTATAATAATATTGAAAAAATTACATGGTAAAGTGCATGAT